TAAGAACTAGAGGTAGACAGGCTATCTATCTGGAGAACCGTGTCAAGGTTGAAATAAATCGACTAGTGAATAGTGGTTAAGTGAAAATGAAAGTGGGAGGCATTTCGTATCTAGGTATGGTTAGCATTCGAGTTTATCTGACGAATGAATGTTAATGTGTTTCGACACAGGTTTCATGAGCATCATCCCCTAGGAAGTAACCACTCGAAATGTCAATCTTTGAATTCTTTTACCAAACACTGGTTCAACCTGTTTTTTTTCTGAACGTAAGTCGTTCCATTCTTGCAGTTTTTTTATACGAATCGATATAAAACTAAACTACCACTACAGATTACTCAGGCATCATCGATATGGACACTAATGAAAAAGTCTGAAAAACATAATGTTTTACTCTAATAGCTTTAGCGAACAGATGCTCATAGATCATATGAAAGTGTGTCGCAGGGATGAGAGATGGAATTGAAATTTTGTGAACAAACGATAGTAAGCGAGAAAACAGTCTTTCACTTAGAAAACGTTGGTCCTCTCACTAAAACTACACACTTTCCGTCGAAGTAACTCGTAAACCAAAAAACTCAGGACCTGTCGCATCCCAGTATACTTCGTCTAACCTTTCGCCGTCGAGTGGCTTCTTCGTTATCTCAACACAAGTAAAGAGAAACTTAAAAGCAGATGAATAAATATTATATTGAATATGATGAGCTTTAATTTAAAAAGTATGTCTGCTATCAAAGCGTGATTTTGAAGAAAGAGTAATAATGTCATGCTCAATCCACACTGAAGCTGATTGAGTAATTCTAATATGCACAGTTGATGAATTGTTCCCTTGAACAGTATTATCTTTTACTTATCGTTTCACACGCTCAAATGGCCAATTCTGAGAACAGTTTCATCGATTCTCACCCTATCTCTTTAAGTTCACGAAATTCCTATAAATCTGTAGCAGGACATAAATAAAAGATCTAAGTTTAACTAGTTAGTTTGTATAAAAGCTTGCCAGAAATCAGTCCCGCTCAGATTCTTGAACGTATATCTATTTTCAGATCAACCATTTGATTCACGTTTTCTAGAAAGCTACACATCAGGTACTTTGATTGAGTAAATATTCGACTAAAAATGGGCGNCCCTATCTCGTTAAGTTCACGAAATTCCTATAAATCTGTAGCAGGACATAAATAAAAGATCTAAGTTTAACTAGTTAGTTTGTATAAAAGCTTGCCAGAAATCAGTCCCGCTCAGATTCTTGAACGTATATCTATTTTCAGATCAACCATTTGATTCACGTTTTCTAGAAAGCTACACATCAGGTACTTTGATTGAGTAAATATTCGACTAAAAATGGGCGTGATTAAATTTCACCATTCGATATTCACTAAATAATAATAGTATGGAATTCTTTCGTCTAGGGGCTAGATGAACAAAAATATTCAACTATTGACCAATACCCCAGGTCAACAAATCCGATCGGATCTTACCGGATCCGACCATCTGACAAAATTAGGCATGCACCAGTCTAGCAAGACTGGGTGATTTTTCGAAAAACCAGTCTTCATCGGTCTCAGTATGAAAAGGTACCGGTCTCTGCCAGTCTTGTGGCTTATTTAAGTTAAGCATATTTGTCCAAGTTTGATGAGATCGAAAAACTGGTAGAGACCGGTATTCTTTCACTCTGCAACTGATGAAGACTGGAATTGAAAGTTTTCAGAACTGGGTCAGACTGGTGCATGCCTAGACAAAATCCGATCGGATTCCTGGAAACGGAATTGCATTGGAATCCGACTAGAAAAATCCTGTCGGTTGTTGCAAATTTTATTAGCGATCTTTCTAGCTATATTCTATGATGATCCTTAGAAAATCCAGGATTTCATCGGATCCGTTGAATTCCTGTAGGATCTGATAAAATTCTATATTGGATCCGATGGGATCCGAGTATGGGATTGTTCGACCTGGGACTTAAGAAAATGAATTAAAAGAATAGATTTCTTGCGAAGAGCGCTCATTTATTCATATTAGAATACCTGGCTGAGGTGGCACCCATTTATACTTTGGTGCAGAAGTAGTGGCATTGACTGACGAATGACTGGATTGAGGAGAATCTAAACAAAGGAAAATAACGTTTTTTCTACACGAAAAATATACAAGCTGATGCTCGTACAATAAAAAAGAGGCTAGAAGAGAGATTTGCTATCCTCAATATGCAATACAGATGTAAATTAATCGTAGAAGAAGTCGACTAGTTCAGTTAATTTAATGTAAAAAGAATGAAATATTATCTACTAGGCGAAGTTTTTGTTTCGTCTAAATATTTTAAGGATATATGGCAATATAAAAGACGTCATGCACCCAGTGTTCGATGAAATAACTCAACCAGTTTTATCAAATAAGCTATTCCTATGGGTCAGGAATCAAGTACAAATTAACTATTAAGTCTTTAATTTGTTTCATTTGAGAATAAGCGTTTTTTAAAGATAATCACTCTAAAAGTATCAATAAAATTCGCAGCACTGGTTTGATCAGCAATTTCTTTTTCTTACTGTTTACATCAAACTTTCGATTACTATGATCGATAAAGATGCAAGTAAATCTTAAACCTCTTTTGTCCAAAGGAAAGCTCGAGTTAACCTCATATAGACTATGAAAGTATAGATTCTCATGTTTATCAGGCTAATACTTGTATATGAGAAAACGTTCATTATCCGGTGGAAACTTAATCGATCAGTGGCGGCTGCTCATGTGAAAGAAACGAATCTCGTTTTGAGGGAGTTACTAATCTTCAAAGTTAGTATATCAGAAATAGTTTTGTAGAAAATTGGAGAATTTATCGAAGGTTATAGTAGAATAGCCTTGAGAATTCTTTTCTCTGCAATTTTATCGAATTAAATTCTATACTGTGGAAAGTCATTACCTTCTTGCTCAAATAAACAAATATGATCGTAAGTTAGAAGAGACGTAACATGCGGAATTTGCTCATCGCGTGATGCCTTCAGCACATCATTTCGAACACGACGTAAAAGTTTTTCAACGTCTTCATTTGGTGTTTTAAGGTGCTCTAAAAGATATTTTGTAAATAATCCATGTGCTTCTCCGTTCCTTCCATCATCGGCAGTTGTTCCAGGTGCACAAGCAAATGCAATTAGCGAACCAACATTTGCCGGCATTGATATTAATCCGTGAGAACGTTGGGGTAAATCGCGACTTCTAGAACCCCGGAAACTTTCTTTTCTTAAAACGTAAGTTCGACAACAATCTAAGAAAAATAACGCTGCAAATGGATGTCGGTCATTAATCTCATCAAGAATATTTTGTGCATCGATTGCACATCCTCGTAAATCTGAACCACTTAACGGAGCATTGTTTTCATTAGAATTATCGATTGGAATTAAATAATTTCGATTCTAAAACGATTAAGTTAGTAACAGAGAATTTATTCCAATGCAATGAATTTATTTTATTTTTACCTCCCATTGAATCCCATGGCCAGCAAAATAAAATAAAACCATAGATTCTTTCTTTATTGAAGCTTGAAAGTCAACTAAAATATGTTTCATAGATGTATATCCTAAATTTAGTTGTGCTTTATCTCCTTGAATTTTAAATCCAATTTTTTTTAACAATTTTGCCATTTCATTTGCATCATTGATCGTATTTTTTAACGAATTTTCCGGGCCATAATTACTATTTCCGATGACAAGAGCAATTTTATGTCGAGGGTTTCTTGATGAAGCATTGTATTCTGCGTTTGCCATCATGGAAAGTAAATTTCAATCTGAAAAATGTTTAATCTTTATTATCAAGTTTTCGTTATTTTTAAATCGTGAAAAATTATTTCTAAAAAAACTCTATAATAGGACAAACAGTCTTGGTATGTAGAATTCCAAAGTATCACAATAAGCATTAATATTTTCTCCGATGCATAGGGAATACTACGAGGAATTGATAGACTCGGTTAGAGCCAGAAGTCTTCGATTCTAGCTCTCGCGAAGTAAATGTTGAGACTAACATTTTGTATTCGGACACAAGTAAATGAAGTCTAAGTTCCCATGGAGTCAGATCGAAAGTCTGATGATCTACATATTCTGTTTTATATTAAGATATAGTTTTTTTCTCGAAATGTCTTTTAAGGCTAAATGGTAACAAGACGAACTGGATGAAACTCCACTCAGGCGGCACTCTCCTCATTCTGATTAGTAAAGCCGAGTAACGACTTACTTTCGTCTCTATTCAGAGAAGTATCATAGAAAGTTTGATGCTGTGAGATAACACAGAAATGACTTCGATGAAATTTATCCAGATATTCTATATTGATTTTTTTCAAACAGATAGCATTTCGATGTTAGTCTTTCTCGAGATCTAAACAGTCACTGTGGACTGATTGGTGGTGATGTATATTATAGACGCAGGTAACTCCGGAAAAGGCTGTTCGTGTGCATTTCATCCAGACATTTTCTATCGATTCTTTCTCGTGGCTTAAGCCTCGTGTTAATTTTCCTTTAAAGCTAAATGGCTACGCTGCAAAGTTTGATGACAATAACTATTCTGATGACTAAATAGATGGCCATCAGATATGCAAACAGAGAAGATATTAAAACTTCTTCTGTAAATCAATCGTGATACGATCGATTGAACTTGTCTTCGAATTCTACTACGAGATACTGATGAAGTATAAATGTGAAGCTAGCACGACGAAACGGTATGCTATCTAAAAACTTTCTTACTAAATAAGTCCCGTCCGTTAAAACCAGTCCATTCGATGTAATATTTGATGCTGAGCTGAATGGTGTAATTTTCATGGATGGTACGTATTTAGTAAAACCGTTTTTAGCTAACATATCGTTTCGTTGTGCTAGTTCGACAGTGATCGGTAAAGTGGTTCTATATACAAAGATTTCAGCACGATTGGATTAGTCTTTAAGGGGTTATCGCGAAAACGAGCCGTCGAAGATACGCTAAACGATTTTATAGTGCCCTCGCTTTTGAGTGCGCATGCGTTAAAATCCTGATCTGAATATAGGTAGTTAAAATAACTGCTAATGATCACACTCTGATCGAAAATTTTCTGAAGAATTTCGCTTATGAGAGAGCATTTTACTAGAAAGAATGTGTGTACGACTCAACCTGCAAGGCACGACTTTTTTCCTACTTGTAAATGGAGAATAGAATACAAAAAGAAGTAGACATGCTTTACTTTAACACGTTCTTCAAAAAGAAAAAATGTAGATAACGAACACACTGTTATTCGTTTTGTCTCTCTTGTAAAGCAGTTATCTGCACAACACTTGAATTTTTCGTGTTAAGAGAAAAATACAAAAAGCAAAAGAATGCAATAAGTTACAATGTATCTCTATTCATGCTGTCAACCCTGAAGATCGAAGGGAGTTCTTGCAAGATTTCAGTGAAATAAAATCACATGTATGAATAATCTAAACCTTCACTTTGCACATACTCTGGTTGAAATCTCTGGGTGGCACTTCAGAGTTCGAACGCATATTTCAACGAATAAATTCTGAAAAACTTCGAATTGACAGTACTAAAAGAATTTGCCAAATTGACCAATCCTCCTTAGAGGAATCGCTTGATTTATTTGATTAGATCTCTTGTCAAATCCAAATGCTTTATGAATTGGCCAATTCTGAGCATCAGGTGACCAAGTGAAATACATCCTTTTAATTCAATTATTCGTTTTACACATTTTCAAAAATCTTTCCAATATCTTTCTCGCATATACTAAAGAATTTTTCTTCTTGTCTCTTTCAAGTAGAAAAACAATTTCAACTCCATCTGTGTCTTTGGCAGCCGTTCGACCATTCACACGAATACTAAATGTGGTAGAAGAATGACCTAAGCACAGTACACCCTCATCAATACTGAGTTTCAATGGTAACTACAACGGAAATGGGGGAAAAGAAAGTCCGCTGTTCTTTCGGTCTGCCAGCTAATAAAGTTTTTTGCTCATATTCTTAACTTTGTTTTCATAGACGATTCTTTCCCAAGCAGATCTTGGAAAGTTTTCCACAACTACTCAACAATAAATTCTAAGCGAATAGTCATTCGGACAAACTATTGATTGTGTTCGAAAACACCAGTATGATTTATTGCTATTTCGATTGGTACTAATTGCATTTTTATTCGACAAAAAGATGATAGAAAATATTGTACAGTTAGTTAATCATTCATCTCATAGCCATTTTTATCACTGGAAATGATCTCAAAACTTATTTGATCATCTTGTGAACAATATTCCATCTATTTATCCCATTTTAGCATACGTATATGTTTCGTGGGCTCATGTGCTCAGTTGTCTTTAGATTTCATAAAATACGAAGTGTCTTAAAATGTAAATTATACTATGAAGTTCATCATAACCTACAAAGACATGCACGTAGGTTAAGCATCGAAAGGAAGAAAAAGAGTTTTTGATGTTTATTCTGTCAGAGATGTGTTTCTTTCGAGGAAAGTACACACCTGAACTTTCTTTTTCCTCATCTGATCGTTACTGACATAAAAGAAAAAAGAATGATGAGAAGGAAAATTCTTTCTTTTTTTTAGTTCCATAGAAGAGAAAAACAAGAAAAAAGTACGTTAGGATCAGGGAAAGAACGTTCTAATGGAAAAAAGTACGTTCTTAGAATAAATATTTCTGTTGTTTTTTAGAGCATTTCAAAAGTAATTTGAGCAGCGCGTTCATTTGAAAGAATTTCTTTGTGCTTGTCACTAGTGAACATTTATTTCAGATGATTGAATCATCGAAAGAAAATTTATCACCCTTGGGACGTCCCGTTTGGCTTCAAAAAGTCATTGGTTTCTATTCACGAAAATTTCATTTCATTGTCATTCCTATTGGAATCATTGTGGCTGCCATTCATCTCAAATTTGCTATTCAATATTTCGATCAATGTCCAATACAACCAATGATACCCATTTATATGATTGTTCATGCTGCAATTCATCTTACAGTGATGATGGTTGGTATTTGTGGAATAATCAATGTCCGGTGCAACTTTCCTCGTGATACACAACAATCCAGTCCAATTGGAGTTGCCATTCTCGTCATTATCCTGGTTTCTGTATTAATTATGTCATTATTTAGTTTTGCTTGGTTAATTACTGGTTCTGTTTGGATATTCGGTGCAAAAGCGAATGGCGTTCAAGGAGATAACCCGAATGACACAGGTACATATTGTCAATCTGAGTTGTTTAGACCGGCCTTCGTTCTTTTAATCATCAATTACATTTTGCATGTTGTGATCGTATCCTTGATTATTGTGAGACGTTTCTGTTGTAAATAAGGAAGAGTGAATACTCCACAGGCACCGATGGGTACAATGAATAATAAAATTTAATTTTTTACCCATCTTTTGTTTAATAACTTACAAATTTCATACCAGTCTATGAAAACAAAGATCACATATAGATACTATCAATTATTGTGTGAAGGTGAGGACGAGATATTCAATGATTGTTAGATATGAATTGATCATTTTTGGCAGGTCAAGTTCAATAAATCGATTCAGTGCTTTACTACGTTGAAAAGCATTTTGCAAATCATTGAAATGTTTGATATGCGTGAGAATTCCCTTTCCAAAGATTCATAATAGTACAAACAGCAAAAATGTGATCTTGTTGTGCTTTTGAAGAACGTTCATTAAATTCATTTAGAGTATAACAATAGTTAAGTTTGGTAATAATGCCAAATGCTCGATTCATCGCTTCGTAGTGTTGTTTTGCGTCTTGTATTTCATTCAGTAAACGTATTTGACCTCGAGTCAGACTTGGACGATTACCATCGGTGAGAAATAGAAAAGCATCACGGTGTTCCTTGATAGGAGAATCGAAACCAGGAACGTCTAATAGTTCGTAGTTTTATCCTATATGAAAGAAAAGGTAATATTATTAGCTCTGTTACTATAAAAGAAAATGTGGTTTTGCAATAGTAAATAACTGGACGGATCGATTCAAACCAGACAAAACACCAGAAGACGATGGTTTCATACCTTCAGTAAATATTTTCACGAAATTGTCCTTGGTATTGGTATTTTAGACTAAGATCCAACGAAATAATACTAAATTTAGTAGCGTATAAGGTATTGTCTAGTGTTTCATTCGGAGTTGTTTAAGACAATAATCGCTGAATGATGTGATAGTGAAAAATTCAGAAGCACTCGAACAGTCTTCAATGATGTATTCATGCAATGTTTTGATGATAGATTTACATTCATCGTCTACACTGTGACGATTATTGGTCAGTAAAAATCTTGAGGGTGTGTGTTTGATTTATAAACAAGTATTATAGCCATGCATGTTTACAAAAAGAGCTTTGCATAAAAGTTTGATCAAAATTCATTGAAACGACTTCGATTTGCTCATCTGGTGCATAGTTATTCAATTAATAGTTTACACACTAAGAATTTTCTTATGATCGCACATAAGTATATCAAAAAGGAGATCATTAAATGTAAACTCAACTTTATCTTTCGTAAGGTGACGAAAATGAGGAATCTCCTGGTTCATTGAAAAATGAGAGCCACATAAGAAAAAGAGAGCTAATTTCGGATGTTTACGATCATTGATGCGTTGTGAAGTCGGATAAAATAGAAATTCCACAGTTAATACTGTGAATATTATTGCCAACAACATGATAGAGCGAACTATACAAATCATATAATAATACTTGATCAATTGTTATTTGATTTTTGCGACCTTCAAGGTCAAACACTTGTGCTTCTTTCTTAACAAGTTATATATATACTGCAATAATCTGAGAATATATCAATATGAAAGTATTACTTATACCGTAACATGTGACCACAATCAAAGACTTATTATAAGAGTTTCTTTGTCATTATCAAATGTCGCCGAATTTTTTTTCTCTGACTATGCTGTTGTACTTGATAATATAAAGAAAACGAAAGCGATATTGAACCATAGTGCAGTCTTACCTAAATAATCAACATTCCTTGACAAGATATGGAAATAGAATCTGTATCTCATTTCAAATACCTAGATGTAGAAATTAAAGCCAAATTAGAATGGCGGGAATACATGAGAACGCGATTGATGGAAATTAGAAACATCTATTATGCTCTAAAAGTAATTTACAAACAAATTCCATCAAAACTAATCAATATACGAAAGAAAATGTTCTGTATCTTTGGGTTTTCCTACTTTATGTGGCTGTTTACAACTTGATTCGACTACACATATGATCAGCGAAAATCAATCGAACATCTCGATTGAAAGATTTATTTTTAAATACATTTACCCTCCATAGAAGGCTTTTTCCATGAAATACGAATACATAAATTCCATCTCGATAAACTCCTGTTCTACTCGAACAATCATATGCAGAGTCTACGACAAGAATCCTTCTCTTTCACTTTTTTTTCGAACTACATACAAGGAAGTAAACAGACAAGAGTGTGTTGCTTCTCGTATAAAGTTTCAATCCTTGTACTAACTGTTAATCCTATGTAGAGAAGCTAATCTAAATGAGGGACAAAACACACCATGTCCTTTTCAAACTATCTTCTATGTTCAAAACAATTGTTCGTCTATCTGCGACAGTTATAGGATTGTCTTACTTGTATTACAATATGTAATTCAAATTGTGCTTTTTTTGGTTCTTTTTAGTTTATTATGACCTGTACATTGTTTTCTTTTGAAAATTTTCAATTATATTCACTGTCGCCGTTCTTTTGGGGCACATTATGAATTTCTACAGCTTTAATATAATTAAAATTTCTTGATAATTAAAAAATGTAAAAAAAGGACATTGTGAATATTCAGTTATTCAAATCGTTTACAACAAGTAGTCGACATGTATAGATATCAATCGAGTGGAAGATCGTTGACTTTAACACCAGAATCACATCGATGGGCAGACAAAGTAGTTATATAAAGAAATAGAACCTGCAAAATAATCTTTTACGTGCTCCGTCTTAGATCGCATATCTAAATGCTCAACAATTATATTCAAAAAATGCAGCTGAATCAACACCTGCTCCACCGTTGTATAACAAGTCGTTCTTCAATAACTACCCTCCGTGAGTCCTAGTGTATCAAATATGAGCATGTTATAGTTGTTGTTTGTAGTAATCCACCGAAGAAAGATACAAAAAATATTAAAAAGAAGCTTTGCGCGACTTGGTATGTTTATCTTGCGCTTTTATTAACGGGGATGGTCTCGGCATCTATGGCTATGAGTATTTATTCGCTGCTTTATGTACAGAAAACAACAACTATAGGTAGGAGTGCAACGTTCCTAGTCATAACTACACTTAAAGTCGCTTGAACTTCATATCAGTTTCCTCTCGAGTTCAAATAAATTATTAGTTCATTAGGAAAAGTACTTCGACGGATAATTGTTCCACTGAGTGCCTAATTTCAGACAGAATAATCATAAGTTAATTATAACTAACCATGCGTTCGAACTCTTTTACTGTTTGCTTTAGACGTACCGATTGGTACAATTGTTCTGTATGGTGGTAATGCACAACAACTTGTCGAAACGGATAATAAATGGTTATTTTGTGATGGTTCTGCAGTATCTCGATCAACGTATAGTGCATTATTTCTTGTTATTGGCATTACTTACGGAATAGGCAATGGCTTAAATACTTTTAATTTGCCTGATTTTCGGGCTAGATTTCCTTTAGGTAGTCTTGTGGCCAGCGACACTTCACTCATCTCTGGTGGCAATGCATCACACACTTTAACTACAGCAGAATTACCCACTCATTATCATGATCAAGATTCACTTATGACAAGCACAATACCAGCTCATTCCCATGCTGTTAATGATCCAGGACACGATCACGGTGGATCAACAGGTTCCAGTACAACATCCTACCTTTCTTTTGGTGGTGCTACTATTCTTTTATATACTAGCTCTGGATCTTATTATGCCACTTCTTCAACTCATACACACACAATAAGCACCGATTACACAAATATTAACTTACAAGCGAATGGAAATCATTCACATACAATAAATGGAACAACAGGCTCAACAGGAATGGGTCAATCATTCAATGTAACGCCTCCTTATCAAACAATTCATTGCATTATTCGAGCAAACTTATAAATGTTTTTTTTTCTTAATTTCCAAGCTTATTTTCTTTTTTTTTCAGACCAATGAAGCAGAGTGAAGGTATTATCTTATGTGTATTATCTTTTTCTGAAAGCAACGGTTAAAACAGCATGAAAACTCATCTATCCAAGTCAATCAGATTGCAACAAAGTATTTCTTCAAAAATGTCTTGTTTATTCTCTGTAAGGAAACATCGATACTTTGACAGTCGGAGTTGATGAACTCGAATTTAGTGTTAATTTTCTTTGAAAACCTTTTATCAGGCCTCCTTCAAATGATAGTCTTTAGTTATATATTATGACTGTGTGTGATCCTTTCGCCTCTGTATGTTCAAAAAGAACGTTTGGGTGCATCCGTTTATGAACGACTGCGAAAGACAATCAATGCGAGACAGTATGAAATATAATCAAAAGCCATCGCTCTTTGAAAGAGAAAATCTTCCTCGAAAATATCTGTGCTGTGCAATTAACAATCCTAATTGCGCTCAATTAGACATATGAGTTTTTGTTTTCTACATTCTTGTTACAGTACTATTTAATTACATAATTGAACGTATCATAGAAGGATTCTCAAATGACATTTGTTGTTTTTTTTTCAATTAGATTAATTTTCTTATCTATGAATTAATTTCGATGAATAATACACGAAAGAGATCATATTCACAATCTTTTTTATTCATGAAAATGAAAGTAAAGAACTTGAAATATTATTTTTGTACAATAGAAAACATGTATACGTGCTGAGAATCCCGAAGAAAAATATTACTGAATTGATTGATTCGAATTGCTGTTGGGGCATAAATCATAAATATTTGTGAGTCATTTTTAAAACTTAGAGCCATTCTAGTCTGATTGGTCATCATGTTTAGTTGATAAACAGCAGACTTATACATATCAACATAATAAAGATATCCATTGTTATTCCTTTGACATGTGTTACGTTTTCTACAAGCGTGGGACCTTTAATTGCATTCAATTTCCATTGCTGAATACTAATTATATTGTCCAGTGGAATAATCACCTCCTTCAAGGAGTAAAATTCTTCCTGTATTTTCATTTTCTTTCACGAATGAACACGATAAGAAGCATGGTCTCTTAATTCGAAATCCAAAATGTACATTTCCTCTGTACGAGTATCAATAAAAATACAATGTGGTAAAAGAAGATTTTTTCTAGCGACATTAATTCCAGTAGAAAGTCCTGTCGAATGATCGATTTGATATAAGAAGTATTTTTGTATACGATTATTATTCGTATCAGCAACATAAAGAATATCATGAACATCATCAATAAATAAATCTTGTGAATTACACAATCCATTTTCATTTGAAAAACATCGATTGAATTAATTAATGAACACGACACCTTCTGTATTCGACATGGCTTTGGTGTCAGAGATATCGTTTCTGTTAATGCTAAAAAATGTAGCAGTTTAACTATTGTCAAAAGAACAACGTCGATAATCTTTTTACTTGTTGATGATTGAGTTAGTGTCGTCGTTGTGTCAGATATTGTAGAAGATTTCATCGTTAGAACTGATCTTGTCGAGAGTACCAATAAAACCAATGAGCATTGTCTTTCTTCTTTCATCTGGATTAATAAAGGGTGAAACATTTTCTCCACAGGATCTATTAATAGTTCATCATTATCCATCTGAAAAATATGAAAGAAAAGAGAATAATAAACTTTATTCAAATAAATTTCTTGTTCTTCTTGATCAATTTCATTATTGATCAAAGGAATTTCTTCTAATGCGCATTGGTTTTGAAAATATCGCCATGTTCTTTTGGTTTCTTCAAGTTTTTCCAATTGATTTTGTATTTCAACGAACACTGAATGTTCTTGAAAATAAATATCACCTTGACAAACAAGAAGTTCTCCTGTAGTTATTGGTACAAATTCTTGTCAAATAATTTGTGCATCTAAACACATTTGTCGAGCTTTTGAATATTTATTTTTTCGAAGATAAATCGTTGAAAGATTTAATTTTGTTATTCCAACATTAATCTTTAAATTATTTTGTTCATTTAATATTTTCTTATAAAACATTTCAGCTTTTGTCGAAATTTTCAATAGCTCTGTAATAATTTTCAAGAAGATTATAAATCTTAAACATATTTCTATCACCATTTGAATAGATTTTTTCTTTGAATTCTTGAGGGTGTTGAAAATATTCAAATCCATTTGTAAATCGCCAAGATATTCATAAATTGATGATCGATCATGAACAAAATATTCAGGTAATTTTCTTAAGATCCTTTTAAAATACGAATCAAATTTATCAAAATGATTCAAATCGATTAATAATTGACCAAAAAAGATATTTATATTTGTATTAGACAATTTTTTTTCTATGGATTCTATTTGTTGTATACATTTGAATTCTCCAAAACTTATCTTCTTTTTCATAATCATCAATTTTAAAAACTATTCCAATATTAAAAAGAATTTCTTTTTCATGAACACAACCATTTAATCGATTAATATCAATTGATCTTCATACTGAGAAAAATCCATTCGAAGATATTAATCGACCAATATCTGAAAGCATATTGTGAAATTCTTGTTTTGGTATCGTAGATTCTTCACGATAAAAAGTAAAATATTCTTTGATATTTTGCACAGTTGATGAACTTCTTCTATTTGTTTACATAAATCTCGAAGGCAAAATCGAAATGCTTGATTAACTAAACGGTAAACAAATGAATCTTTTGTCCACCATTTAATTGCATCACTTGGTGAATATGTTTCATCATTCAATGTTTTGCTCGTTCTAAATTTGATGTTTTCGTCAAGATTTTAATAAATAAAAGATATGAATAAAGTGTTGTTGTATTGAAACGATGATTTTCATATAAATTAAATTTGAATGATGACAAAAACTGTTGGATGGATATTCATGTAGTTTGACAAATTGTAACAGTCCAGAAAAACAATCGATTATAAAAGCGTCGTGTTCATTGGAATTCAATATCGAAATGTTTATAAACGATACTCTGTTTCATAATACGACTTGACCAATTCCAACTGAAACATCGTCCACAAGTTTAAGCATATCGACTTCTAGTTTCAATCCTGATATCTCAACTGAAAGTACGACAAATTCAATGGAAACAAAAACATCAAGTCAAGAAATATTTTCAAGTACAACTTCGACATTTGAATATTCAACTGTGAAGAATATTGGAACGCGTTTATTTCTTCTGTCAACAAAATAGATTGCGATATTTCGAATAAAAAAACAAGAGCAACTTTTTACAACGATATTGATCAATTCACGTCATTCAGTTTGTTTTCTGAAGATAATGCCTTCCTACATAAAATAGAAGATTGATTTCAAATGTCATGTTATGAATGCAGTCGGATATTTTATATGGAAAGAATAGAAATAGTTTTCTTGAGGATGGAAATGATGTAGGACATTCTAATGGTATGAAAATCTAAAGTATTAAATGGAAATAAGTTTCCTGTGCGAACGTGAAGATAATCATAACATATGGCAAAATGTTCTTCTGTTCATTACGTATGAATTCAGAAACGACATAGTGTAAATAATTGATGAGGAGATTTTCTGTTCCCATTCTTATTCCTATGGAGAGTGAGAATGAGAGAAAAGTCGTTGTCGCAGGACACAACTACATACCCTGAAGTGTTGTATCGACCAAATAGTTTGTGCCAATGTTGATCGTAAAAGGCAAATATCTCAAAGAGAAGTACAAACACCGCACACTTTACAAAATCATCTCATCAGATACAACATGTAGAGAAATATCGAAAAATGATGTATTATGAATCACAATAACGCTTAAGACCGTACAGCCATAGAAGAGACGTCGACAAACTGAGCTATAGTTATAATAGAAAATTAGTGAGTTCTATTTCTTCAACGTGTAATATTAATTATTACAATAGATAATAAATACAAGAATGAAAAATAAAAGTTAACGAATTATTTGTTTTCCGTGTGGTGATAAGATGTCAATAATTCATCAGATCAATACATTAACAATTATAATAGATAGAGACGCTATTTAACAGAAATCGTGTTGCAATAATATCCATTTTTGTGTCTTTATTAATATCGGCCACCGCTATCGATCTTACTGGAACTGTAGAACTTAGAAAACCATTTTGAAAAGTAAACGTTCCATTGCCTGTATTGTATAAAATACCGACGGTGGCAGTACTATAACATCCGACAACAACATCCAGCTTGCCATCGTTGTCCATGTCGCCGGTTACGACATAGTAAGGATTCCTGCCAACTGAGTAGGTTGTTCGATTCAGAAATGTACCATCACCTGCATTGAGAAGAATATCGACGTCGCTTGAATTTTGATTCGCAACTATGACATCAGGTTTTCCATCATAGTTGAGATCAGCTGTTATAATAGATCGTGGAATAGTGCCAACTACATAAGTCACTTGTGCAAGGAATGTTCCATTTCCTGCATTAAGAAGAACACCAACGGTACTTGAATTTTGATTGGTAACAATAATGTCCATGTTTCGATCGCTATTTATGTCAGATAGCGTTACGGATCGGACATCTATTCCAGCTGGATACAGAATTTCGGGATAAAATGTACCATTTCCTCTATTCAGAAAAACACCGACATTATTTGTATTACTGTCTGCAACGACGATATCGACGCGATCATCATTATTAACATCCGATAACGCTAAGGCAAGTGGGATACCACTAGTTGCGTAAGTCACTTCAGAAAGAAATGTTCCATTGCCGATATTGATAAAAACACTTATCCGACTCGGGTACAAATTGCTGACAACAATGTCCAATTTTTTATCATTGTTTAAATCGGTACTTTGTACGAAGTATGAAGAGCCGACAGATGTATAAGTTGTTCGATTAAAAAACGTACCATTGCCCATGTTTAGGTGAACACTTACGGTACCTCCACCCACACCCTGATTTGCACAGACAAGGTCGGTGTTGTTATCATTGTTCAAATCAACTGCTATTACGTGGATTGGAGTGGTACCAGCTGAATAACTGTTCCAAGTGCGAAACATACCACAGCCTGGAATAAAGAGCATTAAATATTCTTTACTGTCAAAGATAAAATTTGTATTTTTTTAGACTAAGGATTACAACTGACCTGTTGTTGTTGTTGTTTCTGTCGTTGCTGTCGTCGCAGTAGTTGTTGTTGTTTCTGTCGTTGCTGTCGTGACAGTGGTTGTTGTCGCTCTATTGGTCGATGTGGTTTCTGTCGTTGTAGTTGTTGTACTAGTGACAATGGTCTCGTTGAATGATGCAAAAGCAACTCGAACATCCAATTTTATACCATTAGTGAATGACAGCCGAAATGCAACCTCTGATGGGCCTGATCGAATCGATCTACGTATACCAGTAATATAATGATTATTACATGCTGTCACCCCACCGCACGTCGATGGATATGTGATTTCTAGTTCGATCATTAGCAGATTTCTAATTTTGTTGTCCGTGGTATTGTTAGTTGGTGTGCTAACATAAATAAAGATTAGACAAGTTACACTCTATGTATAATACTTACGTGTCTCTCTTTCGTCGATTGAATATAAGACTCTGTATGAATCGAGCTGAGAGCACTCGAACCATGTTACGAGAGAGACTGTACGTTTTCGAAATCTTCAAACAAGAAATATACATGTCTTCATAACCACGCTTATATAGTCTTACTTGATCTGCAAGCGTAGACAGATCTGAAACAACTAGTGAGCCATTGTTTTCAATATTTGTTTCATAACTAAGATCGAGAATAGTTGAAACTATCACAAAGTAGAAATGAAGATTCAGTTCAACATTGATTTTGTATTTTCACGTATTTCGGAAGTCATGAAATGATCTCATCTGGATCGTTATACCTGAAGTATCGATGAAACCACTGGCTGTCTTATTATCTTGCCTCGGTAAGAATGTACAGATAAAACCAGCAAAGACAAACAAGAGCCATATTAGGAGTAAGTAACAGATGGTTCTTCGGATGATTCCCTGTCTTCTATTAGCGGAAGAAAATAGAAAGATGTAGGGACTTCTTCTATAATGAAAAGTAAATCGAATTTACTGCGTTTCTTGTTCCATCTCAAATTGAATATGAATACCTCTTATATACGGTACAAAGAAATCTGAAATAAAGAATGATCTGTTCAAGTGGTTTGAATTCGACCATAAGAAGTTTCAACATTTCCACAAACTCAGCTATTAACTGTTGTTGAAGATCGCTCATAAATACAAGTGACGAAGATATGACGAAATCTGAAAGGTACAACTTCTACAACCTTAATATGCATTCTCTTTACGTGAATATTTGTATGGTCTTCACTCATATTTGATGTTTTTGTACTTATTCATCACCTTGTATGATTGGTAAGTCACACTTGAGTGAATAATACAGGTACACAGTAAGAGCAGTTGTTACAATCTACACTACTGATTTGTACCCTATGAAATAAAATAATTACGACATCAATTCACGTCTTTTAACTTTTGAAAAACTCGAGAATCTGACTGAGAGATAACAACACTTCCTAACCTTTCTTATACTTGTTGTGCTACAAGATGATAACATTTGAGATGCTGGTCAAAACTGGAATTGCACTGTTGCGATTTTTTCCATTTCCATTAATTGCGACAGACATCTGAAAAAAATTTTTAAGCAAAAAGAACGAGGTTCAGCTTCATCGATGATTTGTCTCCTTTCTGTTTCACGCCAAAAGTACAGATAAATTCGAAACAATCACATTTTGCGCGCCCATGTAAACGCCAGACGCAGGATAAACGCGTCCCGACGCAATTTACTTCGCAAATCGCACGTAGACGCGGTTTAAAATCAATTTTATCGCGTTCAAACGCGTATCTCAAGATAACTGCGTCTGAATGCAAGACAAAATCATTTTTTCTTGCACTTTGACGCAATTTTGTGTATGACCGCGTTCAGACGCAGCCAAAAGACTTTTTAGCTGCATTCAGATGCGTCTGTTAACTGAATCGCGTCTACGCACGGTCTTAACTCAAAAAGAAAAACCCAACCAGACGCGATGGAAGTTTAAACCGTATTCAAACGCGACTACAACTGGTTTTAAACGCAATTGGACGCATCTTTGTAGAAAGTAGCGCTTGGCTGCGTTGAAAAATGTAACTGAAATACGTTTAGACGCGGCTTAACACATTTGAGATGGGTTTCGAACTCTCTCAAAATGCGTTTGCTTTTGGTANCAAGACTTCTGATCGACAGTTCATCTGTTCAAATCTACACTTCGGCCAGTAAGATAAAAATTCAGTTCGTGTGCGAGAATAGTCTAAGACCACCAAGACATAACTGCGGTGGCGACTCAGTTCGAATCTGAGATGGCTGAAAGATTTTTTGCCTAATTTTGAAATTTAATGTGAACGCGTTCAGACGCTCCGATAGTTTCACCCAGGACGCAGCTCAAATTAAAGTGCGTTTAGACGCAGTCAGTTTTGTACTGCGTCTAGATGCTCCGATTGTTTCACCTGGGACGCGCTCGATTACTGTGATTTAGACGCGATTCGAACGCGATTAAAGCGCGTTTAGATCCAAAAAATACTTACATGGGCGATTCTTTTTCTTTCATTCACATAATGTGTCCAACGCAATTAAAATTGTGAAATATCATCATTACACACAGAGAAAGAAGATCTTGATAATGTTCATAACAAGTTTAATCGACGTGATTCTAAAGTCTTTTTACAAGACGATCAAGTAGATTTTCAAAATTTGATATAATCTTGAATAATCATTTGTAGAAATTGTCTATATATTCTGACTGTTTTACACAAATCAGAAAAGTTTTCAAATCAAGACAATTTTAATAGATCGGAATATCTCTTAGAGTAAAAATTCTCAAAATGAAAATTCAATGCAGAAGAGGAAGAACATTTATTCAACTTTTTCGAAGGCAATCTTGAAGTATTCGATATTTATTCGTCTGCAATCATATCAGAAATAACTCTCATTGATTGTATGAAGATACACTCTCTTTCTCCCGCATGTCTTTCACATAGGTTCCAATTTGAACTTGATCAATGCTTTTTTTGTTGTTGATAAATGGCTCGAATTTCTGTCATCGACAAACACCGCCTGAAAGCAACGAGATTAGCAATCCCAGCTTTCGGTTGATGATTGCATCGCGAGTAATCATTTCGTCTGCAAGTGAAAATAATTGCATTGTTCGAGGATCCGCTGTTGATATGTCTATTGAACGTTCGGTGGAGTTTGAATGTACCCAGATCTTGTTCATTTATCCATATACGATAGGAACTTTGTGATTCACTGTTAGTTATAACAATATGTATCCATCGATCATCGAATATTCTTTGCCCGCCGACAGTGGTGTAAGTCTAGAACATAATCCGACTGAATCCGTATAACGAATTCACATTGATGAGGCAAGTAGAACCAAAAGGAAAATGAAAAATATCCGTCAAAAAGTGATGGATCGTATTGTTGTTCCAAGAAATATTGGTTTGCAGCAATATAAAACGGATCAATTACTCGTAGAAGATAATATTCGCTTGGTTCGAAATTTCCACGTAATTCAGATCGATCGAGATTCTGTGCTAGTTCTTGTCTATGGTCATTCGCTGTGAAGTTGTTGAGAGGTGACACTTGAGAGCACTTGAATGATCGACGAAACCATTGGTTGAGAAAATCTTCATCGTATATAGTACACGACCGTCAATAATGACAAACCAGTGAGGCTCGAATCCGATCAGGCAACTCATGAATGTAATAATAAAAAATGTGATGGAACAAGGTAATGAGTAGTCGATCCATTTGCTTTAGTCAGTAAAGTTGTCAATCACATGTATATATAGATGCCACTTTTAGCGGTGGATGTTTTGAAAAGTATGGACGGTTATTGTGTTTTCAGTCGTCCGACAGTCAACGAAAGAAAGAAAGAAAGACCTTGCAAAAGAAAATATCATAGTATAAGTTCATTCGTCGCATCTATGCACGCCATCAGCAATGGGCAACGCAGCTTCAATACGAGTTACATATGAATGAAAAGCAATCGTTAAGCAACAACATATTTTATCATTTTTATTTACACAATGGGTGATGAAGTCTTGTCTCTTGGTATTCTTTATGTCGATGAACACGTTCCGGCGCACCTGTACCGACTTGTTCGCAATGATTTATGCTCTCAATTAGACGCTCGATTGCATGAGCTCTGAAATATCGTCGAGTACTTGATAGCATTGACATGTTATAATCGAGAACAATTAAGTTTATTAGTGATTACCGCTCTCAATGGATACGATGATGTTGTTCGCGTACTTTTAACTCACTGTAATTCAAAACTTCAGATTGAATTAAAAGGACGAGTGATCCTCTATGATACAAAGCGTATGAAAAATATCACAGTTCTTCATTGTGCATGTTATCGAGGACATTTTACTATGACCAAAACTCTGATAGAACTTGGTCAAGCTAATGTTCAACATGGAATACGTGATTATCCACTTCTTATATTCATGCTACAGTGAAAAAGGCTCAACAGCGATCCTGTATGCCATATTTCATAGTCATGTAGATGCATTCCGACTACTCTATAACGCTGGCGCAAATCCTAATATTCGATGTCATATACGAGAGACACTTTACTCATCATAGCTGCTAAACACAAACATTATTCCATCGTTAGTTTTCTACTTGAACAATCGATACTGTAGACGATCTTAAACTGACTGCTTGTTATTTCCGTGACATTTCACCATCCATCGAACAAATCAATGTTGTGTTCGATCTCCTACGAGCTGCTGTTTTGCAACAACGTCAATTACTCCACATAGAGAAAGTCTGTATACAATCAATGGACATTTACGACTATCAACAAGACTGTCAAACTGTTGATGAACTTGATCGTCATCGGATTTTCCTCAGGGCATTACTTATTCGAGAATCTATTTATGCATCTCGCCACAAAATATCTCATTAATATAATCCTTAGATAATTATAGCGATCGACTAGCAGACAAAAAGGAATTTGATAAATATCTTGCTGTGTTTATTCGCTGGTTTTATATTTATCGAAAAATATATTTAAGTAACAATTTGTTTGACTATTCTGCGGAATGCTCACTGAAAATCAAACACTACCTGTTAAGCATTTTCTTCAAGTTTGTTATTTCATATTTGAATTGAAAAATAGTCAACATATACGCGCATGTTCCAAATAAATAAATTTGCTTTTGTAGATTGCTATTGACTTGCGGATGTGAATGGCTTGATTCAGATGCAATTGAATCTCCTGTGCATGACACACCACTTCGTATCATATGCAAAAGAAACAGAAATCCACAAATTATTAAATTACTTCTGAACTCTGGATGTCATATCGATTCTGTAAATAAAGACGGTCAAATTCCATTCGAATATGTCAACGATAAAGAGATTCAAGCTTTATTTCCAACAAAACTAATTTCAGTTCCTCTCAAATGTTTATGTGCACGAATCATTGCTCAAAACCATTTGAATACTATTTATTTAAGTTTATTTCCATCAACTTTGAAGAAATTTGTTTTCTTACATCATAATTTACATACTTGACTGAGTTTTATAGGAACAATTCTCAATGATCTCTGTGTGAAACATTATCTTTTCCTATTTTAACAATAATAGACATGATTGATTCTTTCACTGCATTCCCATCGTCACTTTAAAACAACAGATGGTTTTTGTGTTCATTCTGATTTTACACCTATGTCAGTTTACGCGACTTTTGCGGATCTGCGCCAATTGATATCAAACAAAGCGATACATCAACTAAAAAAATATTCACTTTGTCAACCTCCTCTTCACAATGAACGTCGTATAAAAAGTTTGTAGAAGTATTTTTATCATATTTGATGTTTTTTTACCCGAGAAAATGTTGCCAATGAAATATTTCTTTTATTTCATTTTCATTCACCGGCTATTCGCTACACCACAACTCAATCTTTATTTGACAACGAACGAAAATGGATTACGCTACAACTGTTCTTGACTTGCTTCGAATATGGAACAAAAAAGTCATACTCGACAAATCTCTACTTATTGTCTGAGTGAATCATCATTGAGATTCCAGATCGACAATCATCGTTCATTACAAACATTTTCTTTCGCTGATCTCGCAAGACTCGATAGTACAAGTGGAGATTTGTATTCCTGGTCAACACCAATGGATATTATTGAACAATACGAAATCTATTTACAAACCAACGATGTGTTGTTATCAAAACAAATCTTTTACAATTGTATTTTACCGAAATTTGGACCGGTGTGTCAATATGAATTATATTATTACCATGCGAATTATTCGTGATTATTATAAACAACATTGTGGTATTGCAGATAATCTTACTTGTTATACGCATTTAAAATGTTATCGAGGTTCTGCGCTAATATGTTTAGATTGGACGGAAATCTGCGATGGAAAATTGGATTGTCTCGATGGAAATGCTGATGAAGAACATTGTTGGCAACTTGAATTCAACGAGTGTCAACCGAATGAATATGTCTGTGATATCGATCAATGTATCCCGTATGAGTTCGTTCGAGATGATAAACAATACATTGATTGTATTGATCGATCAGATGAAAAAGCTCCGCGTGTTAAGAATCTATTCGAGATGTACACAGCCGAACCTACACTTGGATCTGATGATTTCAGATGTGAGAGCGAATTTGTCACACGGTCATGTGTAACCGAGCGCCACAGATTAATGTCCGAATTAATCTTTTCAATCAAAGATGAATCAATATCAAATGAATGTTCATTTGCTTTTCAATGTTATTTAGGTTTATTGGATCGAAAACATCCGGAAAATCAGAACGACATTAGAAAATGTATATCGACAATCAAAGACACTTGTCCAGAGACTCTTTATGCTCCAAGTATTCCAATCTTCTTTGGCCATGTTTATACAACTTACAGAAATAATCAGACAGAATTTGTCAATGATTATATACATTACTCTATTTATGTTCGAACAGATCTTTTCATTTCGAATCGCCCAATATTGTATTAAATGTACCAATTCGAAATACAACGTGTTTTAAAGTTCTCCGATTCACAAAATAAATTACAACATATTTTCCTCGTTGGGTGACTCGTTATTATTTGTCTTTTACAGATATATATGGTCAACTCGAAGAAATAAATCCAATACTCAATTTTCCTACGGATCGATGTAATGACGCAAACATTTATCAATGCAAGAATTCATCGAAATGTATTTCATTTCATCGTTTAATGAACAGCATCCGCAATTGACCTTACCATGACGATGAAAATATCTATGAAGATACGGATGCCGAATTATTCGCACGATTGAAACATCGGTATGTTCCTCTCACAGCAATTCAAAATGGTAAATGCGATTGTGGATACATCGATGAATCGTTCTGCGGAGATGAAAATGAACACGAAACATTGGTTCACACGGCGATATTGTTTCCGACCATTTGTGATGATGTTCAAGAATTACGTGCAATAGAAATCGATGAACAAAATCATACAGATGAAACCGAATGTCAACCATGGGAATGTGATAATATTTATACACGTTGTGATGGAATTTGGAATTGTTTAGATGGAAGAGATGAAATCGAATGTAATTTCTCACCAGCATTGTTCAATTGTTCGTCGAAATATCGAATATGTGTCACACCAGGTACATTTGAATTTACTTATTTACCAAAACATCAACTTAATGATGGTAAAGTCGATTGTCTCGGTGGTACTGATGAACCCAAACTTTGCGAAGTCGACTTTCAATATTTCATACGAGGAGGATTTTACTGTACGAATAATGGCACTCCGAATTGTCTCGAAACGTACGAATTATGTAATCAGGAGAAAGATTGTTCATTTGGAGATGATGAACAATTTTGTTTACAGAATCGATCAACACTACCTCATGATGGACTTTGTCGTCCCAAAGATCAATTGGTTACTTCGAATGTTGACAAATTCATATGTAACAGTACAATGAGACGAGAAAAGCGGAAAATCAAACATCGACAAAGGAAGAAAATACAAATGAATTATTCAATGAATACAAACTCATCAGTCTACTCGACAATCGTCGTTGCCTTCGTGGTCTTGATGTGCGAGTTTGGTTAAATCAACCATCGAATCTTTATACGAGTACATGTCTTTGTCCACCGAATTACTACGGCAATCAATGTCAATATCAAAATCAACGAGTAATTTTAGCAATTCAATTTCATGTTTCAGCTCAATCACGACATACGCAATTTGCCATTTTAATCCGCATTGTTCATTCTTACGAATAATTTACTTATTTATCTATCCGAGATTGTAAAATGAAATTTAATCTCTATTTACTTTATTCAACTCGACCAAAACAACTCGATCGAGTATATTCAATTCATATTGACATTTATGAAAAAGTTTCTTTGAAATAGCGTGGAAGCTTTTATTCTATCCTGTGAATTTCTTCTTCTTACCAGTTCATCGTCTAGTACTCATCGTAAATATTCCATTGGAAACTGATGATCAAGCTTGTTCGAATAAAAAATGTCTCCATGGAAAATGTTTGAACTATTTCAACACGAAACAAACATTTTGTCAATGTGAACAAGGCTGGTCTGGACAATATTGTCACATTCCTCATCATCGTACTTGTTCCTCCAATTACAATCGATCGATGTGTCTGTCGAGAAAATGATTTTGGTTCTGATTGTTATGTTCAAAATCGAATCTGCGATCGATTTTAATGTGAAAATGGTGGCACGTGTATTCCACATGATGATTTCATGTTACCGTCAACGAATCAGAAATATTTTCGTATTTGTCCAAAAGGTTTTAGTGGCAATCGCTGTCAACGTGTTGATACTGAGATCAATTTGATTTCGACACAGATATTCTCATGTGTCATTCAATTTTTATTCATTTCTTAAGAATTATTCCGTACAGGAAATCTTTAGTTATTCCTGAAAGATTGACAACATTACAAACAATATCTCAAGCAACAAATTCTATTCGAATCTATTGGTCAAAACCATTTCATCTGACGTTCATTGAAACATTGGATAAAACTTATTATTTAACTGTTATTCAGCCAATTTATAATTTTTCAACAAGAATAATTCAACGAATTGATCCTTTCACACCGTTGTCCTTCAATCGGCGAGTTAGTGAATAAAACATTTGCTCGACTTCATGTTCTTCGTCGAATGAAATTTTATCATTTAATCTGTCAACAATATTCTCCTAATTTACGATGTTTTCATGATGATCATCAACAAAAACGATTGGCAAACTGCGTTGGGTTCGATCATCAGATGAAATTCGATTGTTTTGGACAAAATCATTGTGAAAATAATGCTCAATGTTTTCAAGATCCACCCGATTGTCCTTCGTGTTACTATGGAAGTCGATGTCAGTTTACCACAAGTGAATTTGGTTTATCACTCGATGCAATTCTCGCCTATCATATTATTCCAAATGCCAATATTTTCCATCAAACATCGATTGTCAAATTAAGCCTCTCATTAACAATTCTATTTATGATTGTTGGATTAATCAATGGTGTCCTTTCATTGATGACATTTACGAATAAAATTGTGCTGGAAGTTGGTTGTGATATTTATTTGTTGGGATCATCGGTAACAACAATATTTAACAACGATTCTCTTTGGATTGAAGTATTTTTCATATGTTTCAACACAAATCTCCCCGCCGACAAGTCAATCGTTCTTACGAATTGAATGTTATTCATTAGATTTTCTTCTTCGGATTTGTCTGAATATGGATCAGTGGTTGAATGCATGTGTGGCGATGGAAAGAGCGATGACTGCCGTTCAAGGTGTTCAATTCGTGAAGAAGAAAAGTAAAAAATTGGCGAAAAAAGTTTCCGTTGTTGTTTTGCTGTTGATTATTTTAACATCGACTCATGATCCACTCTATCGACGTTTATTCGAAGAAGAAGATCAAGAAGAAAATAAGAAAAGAATCTGGTGTGTTGTAAATTATCCTTCAAGTTTACAAATCTATAATCGAATTATGAATACATTTCTATTTTTTGTTTCATTTTTCATCAATTTCATTTCAACAATCGTTGTTATAACCCAAAAATCTCAGCGGCAATCTCATCTGAGAAAACGTCGATCTTACAAAGCGATGTTATGCGAACAAGTTTTGAATCACCAACATTTATTGATTGCACCTATTATGCTATGTATTCTTGCATTGCCACGTTTGGTTTTTTCTTATGTAACAAAATGTATGAATTCAACCAGAGATTCTTGGATATTTCTCAGCGGATATTTTATTTCATTCATTCCACTAATGATTACTTTTCTTATCTTTGTACTCCCATCGGAATTCTATAGACGAGAATGTAAGAAATCAATTAGCAGACGATCAAACAGCATCTATCCATTTTCTCAATAATGCCTTCTTGATATTCTAATTTCTAATAAATGTGTTTTAGAAAATAATAGAACATTTTCACTCTCACCCTTGATAGATGCATAATGAAGACTTATTGTTGTTGTTGTTTAACCCAATTTTCATGAAATCTAACATATTTTATAGTTTGTCTATCGTATGTATAAACTAAATGAATATCATTATCATCACTTGCAGTCCAAGACGTTTGTAATATTGATGGATAAGAATATTCTCCAATGAAAGTCGAATTATCATCATCATGAATTTGAACATCTCTATGATATGGCCATGTCATTCCATTATCATAAGAAAGTGCGACAGTTAATGGTGACCTTTTTGTACCATTCAGATTATCAAATGCCATAATAATAGCTCCACTTTTTAATGTATAAGCTTGAATTGCTGCATTATTATTTGGCAGGACTGTCGCTTTTGGTATAGTCCAAGTTAATCCATCATCATTACTATCAGAATAATAAATGCATTGAAATCTTCTATCTCGAAAGAATGCACGCAATTTTTCTGAATTATCCAAACGAATAATTGTAGGTTGAACAAGATTGTCACTTTCTGTCATATTAATTCGAATAAACTTCGATGTTGATGTTGATCTTCGGAATATAAATGAATAATCGAGATGATTCAATGTTGAATTGTAGCAAGGAAAAATAAGTCCTTCTTTGTCGAATGTTGGAATTATACGATTGCGATCCCATCCGCCTAATGTACTATAAAATATCTCAGGACTTGTCCATGTTATACCTAAATGAAAAGTGAGTGTGTGAATACATATTTAGATGTCTATATATGTACCTCGGTCTTCACTGTACAAATGCCATATTTGAGCATAGCTTTCTTTGACATGTCCCAATTGTTGCGTATGATATAAATGTAATACTTGTGTTTGATTATTCCAATAAAGAACCGGATTTTGATTGGAATAATTCATACGTTCACTAACAATGACACCAGGTTTAAATTGTTGTGAACCTAATTCCAAAAGTGATAGTGCTATTGAACAATTGGGTTGTTGTTCACCGCCTGAAAACCAAGCAACAGCCAATGTACCACTTGGAGTTATTTCTTCAATAAATGACGCATGATTACCTATGTTAGGTGGAGATAAAAATGCATAAGAACTTCCATCAGATGAACGATGAATTATTCCATCATAAGGAATTAATCCATTGAGTTCGCAGACATATATGAATAATAAAACTACGATTGTTAACATTTTTCTTTTGTGTTTTAATCTGATGGCTTTTATGATAAATACGTTTAGTGAATACGAACAGATGTGGATATTTTCTCATATAGACAATATTAAAAAGATTGATAAACACTATGTTTATCAATTCTATCGATATTTCTCATAACTAATGGAATATTTGAGACCAATTGTTGATGTAATGATTTTGAATGTATTAACATAGTTATAAGCACAAAACCAATTACTTATTCTTTCTTTTAATATTTCAAGTATTGTGTCTTCATTTGGATCATCCACTAGTTTTTAAGTAAAGCACAATCATCGGCTCTTTGTTTTACTCAATGAAATAATATCTCGTGACCTGTTTGATCTTAACGAATTCGAAATAATGCATTTCAGAAGAGAAAAAGAGAAGACGAAAGTATTAGTATACGTCTGCTATGGATATTTTGATAAAATAGAAATCTTATAGTTTCTTTTCTGCATTGTTATTATGGATGAGTGATGGCGATGACATCACACCAATCGCACCCGCGTCCTCATAATATATAATTGATAATAATAAAAGCAAATTATTATATTGGTTCAAACAAATGTTGTCTGTAGAATTTTCGTAACTTTACTAACCATAAAAGAATGAAAGTATATCTATCGACAGCTTTATTATCAGTTTAATCAAAGAAATAAGAATAGTTGTTTTAATGTTTATACTATAGCTTAAATTACATTTCACAATATGTTGCTCGAATGAACACAGCTTAATTTATGTGCAATTCTTTCAAATGCTCTGGTATCGTCCAGTTCAAAAAGCCTTCGAGTAATCGCATTGAAAGTTGAATTTGTTCCGTAACAAGCACTAGATCAGCATGTTTTATATTATCAAGTGCACAACTTAAAGTTTTAACATTTTGAATACGTGACCAATTTGCATATTGATAGTTTCATTTATTTCTTGTGTATAATTCAACCATGAGTCATAACAGCAGAAAGCATAAGTAACAGAATTATTTCCAAACGCCCGAAGTAATCCATGTTGAGTCCAGTTTGATTTCAAATTCCGGCTATTTTCGAGAAATTCTCGAAAAGACATTGGGAAACGAGGACTCAAAGAAGCTGTACAGTTCGATTGCCAAGCATGTTTTATAACGTTGTTTGCAAATATTAACAGGGAAGAAGTCTTCAATGATTTTAAATATGCTGCCGAACTATTGTGTACTTAGCTCCGCCCCAGGGATCCTCCGAAGGCGGAAAAACATCCTTCCGCTTTTACATACAGGGTTGCGTTTTCAGTCAAGAGAGCAATGAGTGTATTTCGATAAAAAGCTAATTGAATACTATAAATACTGTCGTTCTGAGCTTTCTTCGGCGAATGAAATGTGTTATTCAGGTTGTGTATAGTTGATTGTAGTGCAAAAGCACCGCCTAAATAGTGTTGTACATAGCGAATATAATGGGTGTGGGTGAGTGTGGGTGTGGTGAGAGTAGAACAACACAAAAGAACCATTACCCTCAATCACACCCACACCCTCAAGATGGAGGCGCGGGGGCTGTGCTGCTGCAATGACAAAGACTTATGCAATGGTTTCACATCCATTCGACCGTATTCAGTACTGACTATCGTTACGACTATAATAACACTCTTTTTTGTATCTTAATTCATCGATTCTTTAGTCACCATAAATGACACAAAAATCTTTGTGCTTCTGAACATTGCACATGTAGTGCTTTGCAAAGTGTCCATGAAGGGGGCTGCCATGATCATAATTTCGTCCTAATGCATGACGCCTGAGGTCCATTCATAGCACTATTTGTTCAAACGATTTGAAAACAACAAACAAGTTTTGCACAATTTCGTGGGTGTGGGTGTGCTCTTTTTCATCATTCACATCCTCACCCTTATGATTTACTCACTTGTATTTTTTCTTCATTTTGCACTCATACCCGTCATAAGTAGCATAGCAGCACAATAAAGAATATCATTAGAAAAATCATAAGTTTATTCAAATCAATTAAAAGACACAAATAACCCTTGTTGTGTCAATAACAATTTGAGCTTCACCTGCATCAGGTCCAAATGGACACGTTACATTAACCACTCCTAAAGTAGAATGATAAACAAGGAATGTAGACATTTCATTAAGTAGCCCTTGAAGACCTATTTCTGCCAAATTAATTCCGATCATATTAGTTATATAAACAACTCGTTGAGCGCTAACTGGTGTCCATTTATTCCATTCACCAAGAAAAGCGTATTGTGTTTTATCAGCGAATTGCACAATTGGTGATACACCCCAACGACATATTGATAAATCATGACATTTACTTGCGAATACATTTAAAGGATGTTCATTATCAAAAGTCGCTACTTCACTCGGATTATCATGCGACCAAATTATTCCTGATTGAACTCCAATCATTGAAGAATAAATTTGATAATCTCTTTTCATCGCTGAAGCAAAGATAGTATAGAATGTAATAGGATGTTGATACCTAAATAGTATCAAACTTAAATGTGAAGAGAAATGAAAGAGAAATATTTTACGTGATGACTGTTTCAGTAGAATAAAGTTCACCTTGGGAAGTACCATTATAGAAAGCCCAATCTGATATTAATCTATTGATCATTGTTAGTGGTCGATCTGGTTTAAAAATTAACCCATCTGGTCGACAACATTTCATAATAAGATCTTTATTTGTATAATTTATTGCATCACCTGGACTAACAGGTCCAGTAGATAATGTTGCGATAAATGCTTCTCGTTCTGGAAGAACTTCTTTTGGATTTGACTTATAAGGAGCATCTGGTTGAATTGATGTTGACCAAAATACATCTTTAAATGGTGCTAAACCGATGGCATCCAGAAACATACTGGATATACCTATAGCCCATTGTTGTACTTCACCTTCAAGATGAAGTGCATAATCTGTTGATGCTCGTGCTTGTGTAACACGTGGAATTAGTAAAGCACTAAGTATATGACGTGGTAAACTCATACAATATTGAATATTGATACCTATTTGATCAGCTGCTTGACCCATTGATGATAACCATTGTTGTCCAAGTTGAATATCAGAGAGTAAAGGTGAAAATTCTATTGTTTGAGGAGAAAGCCAATCTTGTTCATAGAGAACAAGACCCCAATCATGAGCTTGAGTTAATAAATCAATCCAAAATGAATCATTTCCAATAGGTAATGCTTTTTGATTATTTTCATCGAGAGCAAATGAATAATTTCGCTTATAAACAGTATCATATGACCAATAACGATTATGTGCTGCTAATGGAATATTTTCTAATCGACGATGTAAATTGACAAGACCATCAGGAAATATATTTGGACGTGCTGTCCATTGTGAAGTACCATCACCTTGACCTTTATAATACCACCATGAATCAAGTTCTAAATAATGAATTGGAAGTTGAAGTCGATGACGAATATCTACCATTGTTTCTTCATAATTTAATCCTTTTTCTGTATTATAATAATAATATCCACCATTATCGGTATAATATCCAAGGTAATTGTTTGTTAAATCAGATGAACGATATTTTTGTGTACGATTATATTCTTTTTGCATCATTTGACCCCATGCTCTAATGCCTTGATTGATGCCATTTGGTGAATAAAAAACCATCATTGAATGATTATAATTTGCTGGAATGGATAATATTGAACCCATAACACCATATTCCAATGTATTTTGTTTTGTTTGACTGAATGAACTACTCATAAAGTGTGAAAATGGTGAAAGTACTAATAGATCGCCTTCTCCTTTTTGAGTTAAATTAAAAACAACTATCGGACCTGATCCGATTCCTGACTGAACAATTTGACTTGATGATGTCCATCGACCAGCATGCTTTTCATCATCACCTGCCATTGTACCTTGAAACGTAAAGTAACCTCGTTCATCTTTTTCATCAATTTGTTCAATAAAAAATGATGGAAAAACTGTACGAACATCGTTCATATCAAGAGGCATAGTATTCGGTAGAATTTGATCACCTGTATCCAAATGAAACGAAATTCCTGAAGCAGAATACCAATCACGTATATGACCAACCATTTTCGTATGTATTCCACCACGAACAAGATCGTAAGACAATTGAAAATCTCTATAATCACCTAGTTTTGGATCAAAACCACTTCCATAACTTAGATCAGTGAATGGTAATGAATTATCATCTGATGAATACCATTTATTATCTACGTGGATAGCTGTACGAGATGAACGAAGCCAAACACGATCACCAATACTAATATTATATCCTCCTTTTTCATCAACTGTTACCCGTATGTTACCCCAACTCGAACACTCAACGATAAGAAGAAACAACACGAAGAGACGCATCATCACTGTTAGTTGCTGTAAAAAATGAAAGATAAAAGCTTCATATATATACACATATGAGGCTAGTGACAAAAAAAGTGTTATAACTTATACTAGAAGCCTAAATATTAAATATAATACAGCTATCATTTTATAGACACTACATTTTTTGTTATATCATCATAAGTAAGCACATTACATACTAGTGTACTATAATACAAATTTTAATGCAAAAAAAGTTATGTGTATACAGAATGACATGAGAGAAGATCGCCAACAAAAATTTGATATTGTATATTTTTTTTTGGAACTATATATTTTACTTTTAAGATTGCAGGCTATATTGCAACAAAAAACATGTTACATATAGTATATGACTAAAACAAAATAGAAAAAAAAATTGCAATAAGTATATAATGGATGTTATTGCTTTCTAAATTTCTATTTGTATAAATGTTCTCAGACACTAATAATAATTTATCTATTTAATATTTCCATATATGTTTAAATTTTTTCGCAATTAATGAACAAATTTCAGGCAACTATCTCAAAAATGATTATTATCAGACATTATCAATTGTTTTTATTCACTTTAATTTTAGCTGTTTTATATAATCCATCAAAATTGTATTCAAATGTAATTCGGAATCCAAATGCAACAACTTTTGCTAATACAATCCCAGTTGGAACAAATCCTTTCAGTATTTTTGTCGATGCGAATACCACGTTTTATGTCAACGATCCAATAAGCAGTTGGATTCAGATTTAGCTGAATAATAGTATCAAGCTAGCAAGAACAATGACTACTGTTGTGTACTATCCACATACTGTTTCCATTACAAATAACGGTAATATTTATGTTGATAGCAGTTATCACAAGAAACAAGTGGATAAATGAGTACTCAACTCAAATAATGTTGTTTCTGTTATGCGTGTTAATTCATCATGTTCTGGATTATTCATTGATATCAATGATACTTTATATTGTTTAATGTATGATAGTAGTCAAGTTACCCAAAAGTGATTGAATGATAAACAGTCCTTAGATGACAACAATTCTAGAGTTTTATTGAAAGTTATAATAAAAGTATCGATATATGGATGAATCCATAGCATACATATGTAACTTGAAACTAGAATTTAACTTTTAAGGTTGACACTACTGATATTTCTTCGAATAAAGTGCATCTAGCTCATTTCACGATATAAGACTGTTATTATATACATAAAAAGTCGGTTAGCACATGATTTTTCAAGGAAACTACTGTAATTATCATCAGAAACTATGTTTCTAGACTTCTTTCATATTTATGAGTACAAAAAAATTGAGAGAAAAAAACTTTCGAAAACGTGGCTAGATTTACTCAAAACTATCTTTCCCACATGTTAATACATGCGTATGAAATCAACGTGACATGAAAGAAGTGCAGAGGAAAAGATGATTTTTATGGAGCTGAAATTGTATCATACTCCCAGGATCCTCCATGACTTGTTCCAGTGTTGCAAATGAAGAGCACGGAATTGTGAAATTCATGAGTGTCTATTAGATTATCAGATTGGTATTCCTTTTCCTGACACGTACTCTATTAGGAACAGACTAGAATACTAAGAACTTTTGAGATACATCACATCTTGTTGATGTTAGTTTACTAGAAATAAATGGAAAGTAGAATCGACGAAAATGATTGACTAGAAAACAGTCACTTGATGTATTTTTCTTCTCCTGAATAGATTGAAGCTGTAACATAACTAGTAGTGAAAATACATCACCTTTTAAGTAATTGCATTTTCTCATCAATGATTTAAAAGAACTTTCATCGCATCGTACAAACAATATCTTCATCTGAAGTGTTCATGGAGAAGAAAAAAGAGATAGAATGAGTAAATTAGTTCGTAGTAATGCATTATTTTAACGCTGATGGAGACATTTTAGTTGAGAAATTTTTCATAAAATGTTAATGATCGCTTTGTTAGTTTTGATGAAAGAGGTAATATCGTATACATGAAAATCATTTGGAATTAGTGAGGTCTTTCCTTTCTCAATACTAATAATAGACGTAGTGACATTGTGTAATTTGTATTGAAAAAAAAAGGATGTCTGTCTTGATGTATACCCATAATTTCCACTTCTTACTGCTTCGACGACGACGACGACGATGATGATGATGTTGTTGTTGTCATTGAGTATTTTTCATTAAAGAAGAGACAATTTTTTTTCTTATCATACTTCTATATTTCATATCAAAATGAACGGCCTTCAAATCATCACTGTTGTGAATGTAATTATACTTCTAATCGGTATTCTATTAACATTAGTGTATGTTCTATCAATTATTTTACTTCGACGTTTTCATACCGCCATCAACATTCTGACAGGTAATTTTGGTTTGAGTAGTATTATTTGTGGTAGTTATTGGATGATATATAATCCGCTAACGACTTTCCACGGTAATATTCTCCAAGGATCAACTGTTTCATACGTTGTCATCTCATATTTGACACTCATGGTGAATTGTTTGCCAGTATATGCGTTAGTTAACATCGCTGTCAATCGATATTTTACAGTGATATATCCGAACCGAGCATTTTTCAAGAAACAAATGTGGATTTTGACTTCAATCCTTACACAGTGGATAGTGGCCATCATTTTACCTATGCCTCACTTGATTCTTTCTTATCAGGTAACTATTGATATAAATCAAGATGATAATCATCAGTTAATGTTTCGTTCATATCTTTCTGTTTTGTTCCAGACATTTGTCAATGGCCTTCGACTACCTTCTTGGATTCTTTTCTATAATCTATCCGTAGTTCTCATATTTCCATCGATTATCATAGTCTTTTTCGATTCTCTGATCTTTTACTCAGTACGTTCTTCAACTCTCCGTGTCCACGCCTTACCATCTAGTGCAGCCACTGTCGCAAATGTAAATCATGGGCGCAACCGAGATGTTAATCTAGTTAAACATATGCTCTTCATATTTGTGATGTTCATTATTGGATGGGGACCTATTTATATTTATTCAGCAGTCGTTAATATGGAAGGAATTGATGCGCGGGTCATCATTCTCTTGCAAATTTTGCCCGTCTTAGATTTAAGTATTAATATTATTGATTTATTCATCTACAATCGCGATCTTCGCCGATATCTAATAGAAAGATGCTTGAACTTTTTACGTGTAAACCGAAATTGAACAGAATAAAAAGAGAATTGTCACGTATTCATTATACATCCAATTATCTTCATCAGAAGCAATTTTAAGCCCACTCGTTTATGTAGTCGTCAACACGACAGCACTTTTAAGTGTTGTATTCAGATGTCGTTGACACCAAAACAACTTACAAGTAGATTTTATATTTTTCCAAGCGAACTGTACAATAATTTAATCATCTAATCTCATATTTATTAAATGATTGCTTCAATTACATTGTACAGTACATATATCACAAACGAATTCTAATTGTTTCGTTGAAAAAATAAGTATAAACATTTGCTATCTGAATCTCACATTTAACTAAATTGACAGACCTATATTATGTATATATATATGCGGCATTCCTGAAAGAAACATACTATTCAAGTTCAATTAGCTAATGCAAAGGTGATAAAAAGTATTACTATAAGTCACGAAGTATCCCGTCATAATTTAGAAAGTCTTTGAATTACTTCTAAATGTTTTGTAAAATATTTAAGAACTGTAAGGTAGGTTTATAATTAACAAGAGTTTTAAATAGTACGTTTGGAAATATATAAATTAAAATTCAATACTTTAAAGTAAAGAAGTGTTTAGAAATATTTTGAAACGTATGAAATAGTATGAGATTCTATTCGATAATGTACAATATAATATGACAGTGTACTGTATTGGTATACGATATAGTAGTACTATCCTCTTTTTCATAGTCTTTGTGGCCATCAATTGATTTCTCAAAACGAAAACTCGCTATAACCCGCTATTTTATGAAGAGAATTCTCCTTTTAGTATGAAAAATACTGTTCGCCACTGTCTAGAAGCTTCGCTCATTGTTGTTTCTCCTCTGTATTCCTGTACACCATGATCCACACATATTCTAAACTGTAGCGTAGGTGATGAATTTCACCCCATACTAGTCATGAGCAACTGCTAATTAATAATAATATACGTCCCATTGATTGAATTTACTATCCACTGGACCAGAAACTGAACAAATTTTCAGTGAAAACTCTCAATAGTAGGCAATTCCTTTAAGTGGGCATTTTTTTATGGGTCCGATAAGTACCCACATTACAGAGGTTATACGGTGTATACAAATGTTTCTTAATTGTATTGATCTTTAAACCAGTTTTGGATATATAAATAGTCTTGCTGTTCGTAAATTGGGTGTCTGAAGTCGACGCTAAAACTGAAAAATGTTTATAAGAAAACTTTTCCGAGAATCCATCGCCATAAATTTACATATATTATCAGTTTTGTGTTTCTGTTATCTGTACGAATATAAAAGTTACCTCACCCAATTAATTGACTTCAAGTTTATAAATAAAAAGCTGATTTATAAATGCTTTAAATTATCAATTCAAAAATTTACGATTTATAGCCCAATTTATTTATAACGATTCCGACATTATTCTGTTTCGAACTTAGCAATGGTGAAGATGTCAACCATAGCATACTGACAGCCCCATTGTTAACAATATAATCGAATTCTAAAGCATAGCTTCTTGTTCATTCGTAGTTTCATCTGTTCGCTTGATTCTTTCCTAGAAACACATTGCAGATAATTTATATGAAATATAGGAACATTCACTTTTCTCGATGAAAAACATGAAAATATTTCATTCCGAGACACTAGTAAAGATGGATTGATAATTTTTGAATCATTAGAATCTAAATTGCAAAAGCTAATTCTTCAATTTCTAAGTTTAAGATAATAGAATCTACCTAGAATAAAAGTCAAAACTATTCCAAACACAATAGTAAGGATTGTTCCGTTAAAAATAAACCAAAGAGGTGATATGGAAAACAGAGGCATCAATATATGATAACTATTTAAAAAAAGATCAATTAGTTTAAATTAAGTTCATTTAAATATCGTTACCTATGATTTGTTGCTGTAATTGAGGTTGAAATAGTTATATTACTAGATGGTACACATCCAAGAATAGAAGTAGGTAGTCGTCCTCCTTGTTTATTAAGTGGTTTATCAGTGAAGATTGATCCAAGAAGTACAAATACTTGAAATGTCAATGAAAGAAAGAAAGATACTAATGCACTCTAAATATTACTAAGAATTTATTATCTAAATATAAATGCTTTTTTTCCCTACTGGACTTTTAACTCGTGATGAAAACAATCCAAGTAAATATAGACCAAGAACAGGACCAACGAATGCACCAAATATTTGAACAATAATCTAAATAAAAATAGAGAAAAATTAATGAATAAATAATCAAATATTCCATTTACTGTAATAATATTACTCTTCATATAAGAAACAATAAATGCCATAAATACTGTTAAGCAACCAACTAACACCGCTATACAATAGAAAAAGAAAATATATGAAAATAATTTTTATTAATATTTACATAATATTTTCGAAAGAATAACTTGTTGTTCATTCGATATTTCAATTTTAATTGATAATCTTTTATAAATATCTTCAAAAATAACTGTTGCTATACTATTCACTCCACTTGAAAATGTACTTAATGTTGCACTTAAAATACAAGCAATGAAAAGGCCTGTTAAACCAGGAAATTTTCCTAATGTTTCAATGACAAACAACGGATACATCTAAATAATAAATCAATCTTTAAATTTCTCTCTTCTTTCTTTTTACTTGATCTGATCGAGCAATAATTTTTGCTCTAAGAGGATCACATTGACTATATTTAGCGTAAAGTAAACATCCAACACATAAACAAAGCATTTGCATTATAACATTCATTATATAATTCGTCCAAGCTACTCTTTAAAAAACATATTTAATAACAAAAACTAATCTTTATTATAAAATACTTTTGTGCTGTTTTTGTGTCTCTAACACACATATATCTTTGTGCTTGAGTTTGAATACAAGCATATTGAGCTGTAGTAGAAAATGTCGTACCAATTAATATACTCCATATTGTATAACGAATAGATGGATCAAATGTAATACTTTAAATATAAAATTTGATTTCAAATTTCAATTGTTAAAATATATACAAACACTGATAATTGTAATCGATTACCATGTTTCATTATTTCAAATACTTTTGATATTCCGCCAGCATCAATTAAACCTTTTTTAATTAAAAAGATATATTATTTTGCGAAAATCAATAATACCAAATATAATAGTTGAAATAAGACCAAGAAACATGATTAACGCTTGAATAACGTCAGTCCAAATGACGGCTTTTATTCCTCCCTAAAATTCAATTTGGAAATCTGATTATTTATAAGCGCTTTGTCTTACAATACTCGTATAAACCGTACAAATCACTCCACATAACCCAACTGCAATCCAAATATTTAATCCAGTCACTTGACTCAAGGCTAAACTTGGTCCATATAAAATAACAGACATATAAAGAATCTTAACAGGTTTATTTCAATTTTAAAAGATAAACAATACTTGAATATTTACTCACAGTAACTAAAATAAAACTACATGTAACCAATATACGAATTGTTAATGAAAATCGTTGTTCAAGATACTAAGATTTTAAAGGGTTTTTATTTTATAAAAATATTCGTTGAATACCTACAGCATAAATACTAATATTTCCGATCAAATGAAATTTCGGAATGAAAAATTTCATTGTTATATATGTTGCCAAAAACCATGAGATGACTATGAAAACAAATTATCAAGTCGAATCAATTCATTCTTTTTTAACATACTACAATAGACAAACATTGTTCCATAATAATAGATTTCAACAGGCATTCCAAGAAGAGATGCGGCAGATGTTATACTTGCTAGCAAACTCATCGCTGTCGGTAACACCTATACAAACAAAGAATAGACATCTAGATTTTATTTAAAATAACTTCATAACTCTCATTCGACCATCAGCAACAAGAAAATCTTTTGCTGATACTTGTTTTGATTGTGCACAACCGTGATAAATACCAATACCACCAGAGAAAACTAAAAATATTATGCGAATAACAACTAGTTTCGTTCAAAATGTCACTCGACGTATAATCTTACTCAATAGTAAAATTAAAACTCCATAATCTATCCAGCCGAGAAACATTTTAAATTATTTCACCAAAAAATTGTCTGTCGTCCTTCACTTATAAGAAGATAATGGTTCTACGCTTTTTTCGTCTTCTATATCGCTCGTTGATATTTAACAAAGAAAGAATGTGAAAAAACAACAGATGAATAAAAGTTGTGATAAGATTACTACTAGTTTTGAAAATTAAATTACACAGAAATTATTAGCATTATGAAAGTGTTTATTGAAACTTGAAAGATAACAGAAATGGGAACTCCGGTAAAAAAATCGTTAACTCCCCAGTTAACTCTGAGTTAGAGTTGCTCATGTCTGTATGTAACAGACACAGACTGAAATTGA